ATACGTGAATTTAAAGAGCCCTGTTCTTTGAGATTGTAAGACATTTTGATGTTTCAAAAATGGTCTCAATTAAAATCCCAGAAAGATGTTTTGTAATGATTTACAAACTAATTCTAATATTTATATGGAAAGGTAGTGGTTAAGAAAATAGCCAAAACAGTTCTGAAAAAGAGAAACAAAATAATGTTTCTATTATTTATCTATTCAATCATTTATATCATATTTATAAAATATCAGTATTTTATACTATAGGTTATAATCCAAACTACATTATTAAATTTATTACTCAAATAATTCTAAATTTGGCTATTAGGAGCTGCTGTAAAGTAAATGCTTATATTCCTCCAAAAACTCAGATGTTGAAACATAATGCCCAACACAATGATATTTGGAGGTGGGACTTTTGCAAGGTGATTAGGTAATGTCAGGGAGCCCTCATAAATGTGATTACTGCCCCTATTTAAAAGACCCCAGAGACCTTGCTTGCATCTTCTACAATCAGCAGATACCAAATCTGTTAGTGCCTTGATTTTAAACTTCCCAGACTTAAGAGCTGTGAGAAGTAAATTTATATTGTTTATCAGCCACGCAGTCTATGGCATTCTTTTACAGCATCCCACAGGGACTAAGACAGGAATTCCTTCAGGTTGGGTCCTGTATCCCTTTGATGTGCCCCATCCTTTTGCTTTTAAGAGCATTTCTATACTTTTTAACATCACAAGATGCTTCAGCCTTATCTCAATCTTTCTTGCTCAGACTCTGAATCACCCATGTCTTCAAGGAGCACTGGTTGATTTTTTCAACAATGTTACTACAGAATAAGATCTCAACAGGGGTATACAAGTAATTACAGGCAGAGATAGGGAACACATGTTTATACATTAGCTTGCATATACAGATATCCATAATAATTTCCATATATTTTGTCTGAATCTAAATTAAGCTAAACATGAGCTCAAGCTGATGTCTTTGATTCTAATCCAATACCACATGATACATTCTATTCTTCCCCTGCATCTCTGCAGCTCTTCTCTTCTAAGAAACCAGGCTCTCACCATCCACTATCCTTTCTTTACTGATTGAACTCCAGTATACATGTACAGCAACTTCAGGATTGTTTGTAACCCTTTCTTCCACAAGAAAAAATCTGAACAATTACAATACAGAGATTATGTAGTTATTTTTCTTTTAGTATTATCGTTGTGTCAAAACATTGTTTTACAAAGTTGTATAAGGCAGTTCATATTCCCCACCCTCTTCAGTGAACTCATACCAAACACAGATTTTTTGTCACAGTCTGCATTCCACCTTAGGAGTCACCAAGCTCTTTCTGGATATTTTTTAATTTGCATATGTTAAAGTTCACTTTTTGTGCTGTAAAGTGCTATGAGTTTGACAAATGCATAACGGATCTGACAATATCATACGCATTAGCTCCAGCACCCAAAAATCCCCCTTACTTTCCTAGTAAAACGCTGCCCTCTTGCTTATCACAAAGATGGAAGTATCCACTTGTCTTTTTTCTATCTCTATTAGTTTCTCCTTTGTTACAGAATGTCATTAGAATTGACTCATATGTAATAGAGTCTTTTGCTATAGCTTCTTTCACTTAGCAAAACACATTTATGGTTCATGCATTTTGTTATGTGAATTATTAGCTCAATGGATCACAAGTTGTTATCAATTTACCTACTGAAGGACATTTTGATTGCTTCTAATTGCTGGTAATTATAAATATATCTTCTATAAACATCCATACATGGGTTTTTGTGTGGATTTAAATTTTTACTTCACTTGGGTAAATACCTAGCAAGTACAATGGCTAGGTTGTATGGGCAGTCTGTGTCTAACTTTATAAGAAACATCTGAACTGCCTTCCCAAGTTGCCCTAACATTTTCCTAGGACAGCAATAAATGAGGCTGCTTCATGCCCCACATTTTTCCCAGAATTTGGAAATGTCAGATTTTTTTTTTTAGCTGTTAAAATAGGATTATAGTGGTATTTTGTTGTAGTTTCTTAATGACAATTTACATTGAACATCTTTTTAAAAGTCAATTTGCCATCCTTGTATTTTCTTTAGGATGCATCCATTCAGATCTTTTCCACGGTTTTTCATTGAGCTGTTTCTTTTCTTATTATTGAGTTTCTAGAGGTGTTTTTATTCAGTTTATTCTGGATAAAAGTTTTTCATCAGACATGAAATATTCAAATATTTTCTTTCAGTCAGTGCCTTATCTTTTAAAAAAAACCTTTTATTTTTACTTTGGGGTAGAAGTGCAGGTTTGTTACATAAACTTGTGAAATGAGGTTTTGTTGTACAGATTATTTGCCTTCACAGTGACTTGTGTAGAGCAAAAGTTTTCAGTTTTGATAGAGATCAATTTTTCTTTTTTTTCTTTGATTCATTGTGCTTTTGGTGTTTTATGTAAAAACTAACCACCAAACTCAAGGTCACATAGATTTTCTCCTAGACATTTCATAATTTTGCATTCATGTTTAAGTCATTTTATTTAATTTTTATGTAAGATACAAGTGAAATATTGGTAATCATTTTACTGCATAAAAACATTGAACTCTTTCAGCACTATTTTTTTTAGAAAGGTTAACTTTTTTTATTGAATTACCTTTCCAATGTTGTCAAAAATAATGATAGTTGCTTAGGTCTATTTCTGGGCTCTCTATTCTCTTGTCTTAATTTATGTATCTATCATTTCTCTAATACCACACTGACTTGATCATTGTAACATTACAGGAAGTCTTAAAATTAAGACTTCCTGGTGTGTCATCTGACTTTTTTTTTCTTCCAAAATTATCTTGGCCTTTCTATTACCTTTGCCTCTCTATAAATCTTAGAATTATTTTGTCAATGTCTACATAAAAGCTTGCTAGAATTTGATTCAAATTGCACTAAATCTATAGAACAAAATTGTAAAAAATTAACATCTTAACTATTTTGAATCTTTCAATCCATGAGTATGGTACATCTCTCCAATAATTTGGAGCTTCTTTGATTTATTTCACCAGCAATTTGTACATTTCTAATAATATCCTGAACTTATTTTGTTAGATTAATACCATAGTACTTCACTTATTTGGGTGTTGTAAAAAATAGTATTAGTTTATACATTTCAATTATAATTGTTCATTGCAGGTATATAAAAAAGCAATTGACTTTTGCATATTGACCTTATATCTTTCAGCCTTGCTAAATCTCTTATTATTTCCAGGAAGTTTTTTTTTTGGGGGGGGTAGAATTTTAGGGTCTTTCTATATAGACAATCATGTCATTCGCTAATCATCAGGAAACAATGGTCAGCATGGTAACTGATCACACTGCCTTGTTTACCATGCTTCCTGTCTCACTTCATTTACTTTTGCTATACTGGGATTGCATCCTTCCCCAAATAAACCTTTAGCACTTAATCTTTGCCTAAGGCTCTGATTTCTAGAGAGTGCAGACTGTCAGCAACCTCTTACCTACCTCAAAATAAATTTTAATTATTTGATTTTAATATCAAATGTCAAGATAGAAACACCACATAAAAATATGTATAACTATCACAAGGTAAACCACTTCATAATAACTGCAATCACTACCAAGATCAGGAAACAGAATTTTGACAGCAGCCACATAAAACCATTTGCGTGTTCCATTACAATTGCAATGCTCACATTATCAGCAAAAACTACAATCTCAAACTTTAAATAATTACTGCCTTGCTTTCTGAATGGTTTAATCATCCCAGTTTGAATTGTTAACACATTACACATTATAGCCTAGTCTTGTACACTTTGTAATTCTGTACGTTTTCAGTCTATTGTAATCTGTAGATTCTCTGTATAGCCCATTCACTTTCTTCCAATCTACTCAGGTATTTTGACTGTAGAGTTGTCCATAATGTGGGTTTTGCTAATTTCATCCACATGGTGCAATTAAACATATTCATCTGTTTCAAGTTCACCTTATAGGTTTCCTGTACTAAACCTGGAATCAGTCATTTCTCCAAGAAGCCCTAGATTCTTACATCGAGAAAAATTATTGCAATACCACAATCTGAACCTAGGAATGATCATATTTATTTGAATGCTCAATGTCATTAGAATTTTGAATGGACATAGTCAGCAGGTAAATAGATAAATGGGAGTTAGATAGATAGACTATGAGTCCATCATAAATATATATATAATTTAAATAGAAGACTCCAATGACTTTCCCCAATGTCCTCTATATTACATTTAAAATTGGGATATTCAATAAGTAATCATTTGTTTTATCTCACATTACACATGCAACAATTATAAAACACTAATACTATATCCATGAATATAATTACTGAAAATGTTTTAAAAATATTTACATATACTCTCCTCATTCTTCTCTTTTATTAAAAAAAAATGTTCTACTCTAACTACATTGTCAAACTATAGAGATTTTTTTTTAAAGACAGAGTCTAACTCTGTCACTCAGGCTGGAGTGCAGTGGTGTGATCTTGGCTCAAATGATTCTTATGCCTCAGCCTCCTGAGTAGCTGGGATTATAGCCACATGCCACCATGCCCAGCTAATTTTTAAAAATTTTTCATAGAGACAGGGTTTCACCATGTTGGCCACGCTAGTCTCAAACTCCTGACCTCAAGTGATCTGCCTATCTCGGCCTCCGAAAGTGCTGGGATTACAGGTGTGAGCCACTGTGGCTGGGCCTAGATATTTCAAAAGACAATTTTTGAATCTTTTGAATAAAAAAAATTGTTAACAATATATGCATATACAAATCACAAAGGAAATTATTAATTTGACAAAAGGAAAATTAATACTTTTACATGACAAGATTTCATTAAAAACTAAAAAGTCAAAAAACAGATTGAAAAAAGGTATTTTCAACATACATAAGATAACATAAAGCAATACTCAAAATGTCTAAAGAATATCTCTACATTATTTTAAAAGTAATGAGGGCCTCAGGATAAGAAAAATATGAAGCTCCATCTATGCTCCCTTATTATTCTTCCATTTTCCCTACTTAGCTCCAGAGAAACTTTACAAAAGATTCACAGTTCATAAAGACTCTTCTGCCAAAATACCTCCTTTGTTACCATCAATTATGTGGATAAACAAGCAAACTTTCCTTGGCAATTAGAAACAGAATGAAGTCTTTTATTTTTGAGATGGTACAACATTACTCTGACGTAGAAGAGAAAGCAACATGCACAGCTGTACCATAAACAGGCCATTCCCATAAATGCCGTTTCCAAAAACACATCCCCAAGGTAACCCATTTCCTAGTTTCCCTCCCAGATGTTTCTTTATGCAACTACATATAAATATGCATATAAACTAAGTTGTACCTTGTTCTTATAAAAAAAAAAAAAAAGGTAACAAACATTTTCTGTTCTTTGCTTTTCTTATCCAACAGTGTATCTTGGAGATACACTTTATTTTTACTGATACAGAAAACATCCTCGTGTTTCCAACCCTCATATAATAGCAACTGAATGAAAGTCCCATAAAATATATAAGTAGTCATCTTTTGATGTCCATTTGGGTTGCCGCCAGACTTGTGTAATCACTTGTGTAATGATGCAGAGAAAAATGTGTGTTAAGCAATACAGAAATATTAATTGCAACTAGTGGTTATGACAGGAACTTGGGAGAGGATGGGGCAATACAGGAACTGAGATACAGGAATTAAGGGAGTTCAGTGTAGAGCTAGAAGGCAGCTTGATAAACTTGGGTTTTGTGAGAAAGTAAGGGGGAAAAGAAACAAACAAATAGTTTGGTAGTCACACAAAGAGAGACAGAAAAAAGAATTAAGAAAGAACCTGAGCAGGAAAGTGGGAAAGCAAAGGGAGCCCTGAGGATGAATGTGTCACTTCAGGATTGAAGAATGCATGAGATGCAGGAAAGGGGGCTGTAGGCTACCTCTCCCTCTGCCCTCTCTCCACCCCACCCTCAGCCCAAAGACACAGAAAGCCCGGCTATCCCTTATCACATCGCCTCCCAAAACACAGCCCCATTTCCCTCCCTCATTTGAGGCTGGCATGATGACATGAATGACATTAGATAACATGCCTCTAAGATCTTCCATCTACACCTGAGAAGGTCCACCAGTTTGAGATGTACCTGTATGAGCACACATCCAGCCTTAAGATTGCTGAGCAGTTAGGGTCAGGGAGTGAGTTCACTCTCCCAAATGCCAGTTGGAAAACCGAAAGAAAGGCACTATCGCTATTGGACACTGCAAGCAGGAATCAACAAGGAAAGTTTGAAGCTTGTGCTGGCCCTAAGATTACTCAGAGAAGTACTAGTGAGTTTATATAATGAGCAGACACCTTGAAACCACATGGCAATATAGAGGAAGATAATCTCAGTACATAAGATCAAACACGTATGTCAGATGTAAGAAAATATATCACGCTTCTTTTGTTTTTCTCATTATCAGGTCCAAGTGTTTAAAACATTTAAAACTTAAGTGTAAACATTTAAGTTTACACTTCTCACATTCATTTTACAACATGCATTACAACTACAGAGGGCCAATAAATTTATACATCTATTTAAAAATAATGAAGTGATCTTCCATGGAAAAACAATTCAATATAAATTGAAGCTGTGTCATAGCTTACATACCCATTGTAGACCACGAGCTGTTTGATTTTGAGAATGATTGTTTTGGATTCAATTAGTACTATCAGATTCCTCAAATCCATCATGAGGATGGATTTAACTCAGGACAGACTTAACTTTTGAGGAGTTGATAGCAGCATTTCAAGACATCTCCAAAGGCCTGTATGAATTTGTCATTCCGCAGGGTGAAGATAAAAGGGTTCAGAAAAGGGGTCACCACTAAAACCAGCAGTGACACTACTCTGTTATACTCAGCTGCCTGTGTTTGCTTGGGTTTCACATAGAGAAACAAGCAGCTGCCAAAGCCAATCACAACATAAGTGAAGTGGGAGGCACAGGTGGAGAAGGCTTTCCTCCGGCCAGAGGCTGACGGGATCTTGAGGATGGTGGAGATGATGTAGGTGTAGGAGACAATCGTAGGGATCAAAGGACCAATGATAATGAAAATGGCCATTAGAAAAAGAATAAACTCTGTGAAAAGAGTATCCTCACAGGATACCTTAAGCAATTGCCCTCGATCACAGTAAAAATGATCTAACACATTTGATTTGCAGAAAGTAAGCTGAAAAATGGCATAGACCGGCCAGATTTCAGAAAGAAACCCAAAAACCCATGACACAATTACCACACAAATGCAGGTGCTGCTGTTTGTTCATAATGATGTTGTACCTCAAAGGGTTACACATAGCCACATAACGGTCTGTAGCCATCACTCCAAGTAATGCCGACTCCAAGGTACCCAAAGAAAGGTATAAATATAGTTGTGCAGCACACGCAGCCAAAGATATGATCTGAGTGTTTGGAAGCAGCAACCCCCAGAGCATAAAAGGGACAGCGGTGGATGTGATCAGGACCTCCAGAACAGAGAGGTGGCCAAGGAGGAAATACATGGGGGATTGCAGATGTTTACTAACACAGACAGTGATAATGATGACTGTGTTTCCCATCACTGTCACTGCGTACAAAAAGAAGAAAGTCACAAAAAGGATATGACGTACTTCTTGGGAGCCAGGGAATCCTAAGAGAAAAAATTCAGTGGCACTGGAGGAATTTCCCAACATTTACTTTGGAGTGCTTTTCCCTTCTGAAATCTAGAAAACAAAAGAAAGCTAATATGGCTTCCCATCCCAACAGAAGTAGAAACCGTTATGAAATTCCTCTCCTGTCCACAGACTTCACAACATGACCGGAATAGTAAGCATTCATCTTCTACTATTCCTGTATATGGTCAGTGGCAATTTTTCTAAATATGCACAATGTGTGAGAAGAGTTGGCCAAGAAGATGATCCGTCCCCAGTGCTATATCATAAACATGAGAGCCTGTCTCCCACCCAGCAGGCACCATTGCACCCTCAATGCTCAGTTCACCTGCCTCCCACTCTGCTCTAAACTGTCATCAGTCAGCCTCCATGACCACAGTGGGTTCCTTTCCACCACTAACTCCCATCTGGAAGGTCCTAAACTACTCCGTCTGCCAAGTATTTTCTATCTTGTAAATTCCTGTTCCAGTATCATGTTCTATACAAAAGTTTTCCTGCCAACATCCCTGAGCTGGTTACTTGGTTTCTTTGTTTCATCTGAATGTAGGTTCCATTTACAGAATGTTTATTTTAAAACTTCTGCTTTACCTTCATCATCATTGTTGTGTGTTGGTGAGAGTGAGGGAAGTCTCCTGAGGAGTTTCTATAAATTCTCGAGGGCAAGGACTGAGTATCTGTCAATCTGCTGGTCAGCTGGTTCCCTGCATGGATTACTCCTTTCTTCCTATCTTAGGAATGAAACCTCCCTTACTTTTGTCCTCAGTGAATGTGTCTTCTCACAGAAGGCTGACAAACCAGCACCTGGGCTGAGTTGAGCCTGGCCATCTCTTTCTAAGACTCTGACAACTCCTGTCACCAGACTGTGACAGAAGTCAGATTCAGAATGAAGCATAGGAGGAACTTTTATCCTCAGCCTCTGTCTGTCCCACATTGACCTCATACTGAGACTGACAAACAAAAGGCTTTAGGTCTACATGCCTTGCCTCTAAGAGAGCCCAAAGCCACAAAGTGTGACCTCCAGGTCCAGCCCAGGTTCTAAATACAGAGGGTATGCTCTCATTCTATTAAAAAGTTTGGGATATCTCCTCAAAGTCAATGTTCCTTATACATCACATTTTTTCTCCCAAAATCATACCAGAAATTAAAGAGCCAGCTGTCACTAACATAAAATAGACCCAATTTCCTGAGTACCTTAGAATTTCTGGGCTTTATCCCTTGCTTCCTTCAGGTCTTTGCTCTGGTGTCCAAGTTCAGGGAAATTGTCCTCATCATTAATATGTCTAAGAAAAAGCACATACTACCCTTCACTCTCTATCTCCTCGCTATAAGATAATCTACTTACCTTTTTAGCCTTCATCACGTGAAATTATATCACTCATATTACACTGTAAGCACCGTTAAAGCAAGAAGATTGTCATTCTTGTTCATCATGTCTCATGATCTAGTATTATTTTTAAATGAATTAAATGAATTTGTCAATTAAAGGCTGAATCTATGATCAGAGCCAATGAACACCAATGTTGAAGGCAGCTGCTTTCTCTCCCTTCTGTCCTCACTGAGACAGTGCCCAGTCCAAGTTCATTCAGTCCTCTGTCTGAGACCTCTTGTAAAATGATATTTGGGAAGGACCAACTTGATGAAAGAAGTCAGTCTGATCTCCACAATCTCTGCTTACATGGGACCAGATGAAAAGAAAGGAGAGATGATGGTTCTGACAATAGCAAGGAACTGTGCCTACCTCAAGCACTGAGTCAGAATGGTTGAAAGTGCTTTCTGCTATGCAAGAAGGATTTGAAGATAAGCCTATTACTCTTTAGAATCTGGATGTCCTCATCCTAGAGGACACGCAAGCCCAAAACTTCCCATCCTGAGCCTCTCCTAGTTTCTCCTTCACAGAGCAGAACTCCTGGAAAATGCTCACCTCCAGAGAAATACCCTGGAGTGAAAAGTTGAATGGCTCCTTAGGACTCGACCCAGGGTGCCTCCTGACTAATTAGTGCTGAAATTGCTCTGTGGCCCAGAAGAAGCTGCTGCTTCTTTACTCTCAGTGAAGTCTAGAAATCATAATGCCATGGGATGCCCCACTGCTTCCCTCTTTCTCTTTCCCTCCTTCTTTCACTCTGCAATGCATCCCTAAGGAATATTATTCACTAAGTTAAGTTAGTTCAGAGAAACCCTAGGGATGCAGTGAAAGAAACACCAAAGAAACGTTCAGCTTTTCTCTCCTGAGACCAATCAGGTTTGAGAACTCTTAAAAGTTTTGTGTAATGGGAAAACTTGAAATCTCCCTCATCAAGAGTTTCTCAAAACCCAGGCTGTCTTTCTCTAGGCTCTCAGTCGTGGTTATAAACAGCTCAAGTCAGTCCTGCATGCTCCCATGTGCATCTCTCTAATTCCATTTAACCCTACAGAGACCACACTGCCTGTGATGGTTAACACAGGTGTCAACTTGATGGATTGAGAGATGCCTAGATGGACAGTGAAGCATTGGTCCTAGGAGTGTCTGTGAGGGTGTTTCCAGGGGAAATTGACATGTGGGTCAGTGGACTGGGAGAGGAGGCCCATCCAACGGGCCATGGGTGAGGCTAGAACAAAGTTTTCAGAAGGGGGACATTCAGCTTGCTTAGATTCCCCTCTCTCTCTCTCTCTCTCTCTCTCTTCTAGAGTGAGTATCTTTCTTCCTCCTGCTCTCGGACATCAAACCCCAGCCTTTGGACTCTAGGACTTGTACCAGCATCCTGCCTCAGACTGGAAGCTGCACTGTCAGCTTCCTTGGTCTTGAGGCTTTTGAGCTGGGACTGAGCTACACTACCAGCTTTTCTCATTTCCCACCTTGGAGAAAACCTACTTGGAGACTTCACCTTTGTAATCATGTGAACCAATTCTCCCTAATAAATTTCCTTTCATATATATATGAAAGTGTAAGGCTGGGCGCGGTGGCTCACACCTATAATCCCAGTACTTTGGGTGGCCGAGGCGGGTGGATCACCAGGTCAAGAGATCGAGACCATCCTGGTCAACATGGTGAAACCTCGTCTCTACTAAAAATACAAAAATTAGCTGGGCATGATGGTGCGTGCCTGTAGTCCCAGCTGCTCGGGAGGCTGAGGCAGGAGAATTGCTTGAACCCAGGAGGCGGAGGTTGCGGTGAGCCAGGATCGTGCCATTGCACTCCAGTCTGGGCAACAACAGCGAAGCTCAAAAAAAAAGAAAAAAAGAAAGTGTGTGTGTGTGTGTGTGTGTGTGTGTGTGTACATGAACACGTGTGTATACACATATACTATTGACTCTCTTCCTCTAGAGAAACATGACTAATATACATCAAAAACCCAGAGGCCAGGGATGGGTGAGTAACATGAGAAAATAGTGGTACTGTATAGGTAGCTTCAAGCTCCTGACTCTCCACTGAAAAGACAAAAACAGCCTGAAATTGCCAAAATCAACTTTATTAGAACTTTAGAAAATACTCAGTTTTTCAGCAGCCAAGCAAACACTGATACAAGAAAAAAAAACTTAAAAATACTAGGAAAGCTCTGTGGTGTTTTTAATTACCTTTGCCTACCCTCTCCCCACCTCACCAGCAGTCTTGAAAATGACAGCCTCTATCCCCAAACCAGATCCAGTCTCTGGTTCTAGAGAGCGCAGAGCAAACCTCATTCACAAAGTACTATGTATGTCTGTTCTAATCTGTCTGGACTACCTGAAGGACCGGCCCAAGGTGCTAATCTTTGTTGCACTTAACACAGATTCTGCTCATGGTAAAAAGTTCCAGCCATTGTGTAAGAATATTGTAAGACTAACAAAAATTCTGCATCTCCTACGGTAAAAGATTACTATTGAAACATAAAACAGACCATGTAAGCTTCAACCTCAGAAAACTTGAAAAATAACAGAAAATTAAATCCAAAGAAAGCAGAAGAAAATAGATAATAAAAATTAGTGCTGAAATCAAAGCAATTGAAAATAGGAAAGAGAGAAATCAAGAAAGCCAAAAGCAGGCTCTTTGAAAAGACCAATAACATTGATAAACCTCTCTCACCAGGGTAACTAAGAAAAAAGAAAGAAGACAGAAATTACTAATCTAAGAGACAAAAGAAAGGCCATTATCATTGATACCACGGACATTAAAAGGATGGTAAAAGAACACTGTAAAAACTCTACACCAACAAATTTGATAATTTGTATAAACAAACTAATCCTTCTAAGACACAATCTACCAAAACTGAGACACGGATGAACTAAATAGACCTATATCTATTAAAGAAATTGAGTAAGCAATTAATAACCTTCCAAAAGAAAAACCACTCAGCCCAGATATTTTCACTGGTGAATACTACCAAAGACTTAAAGAAGAAATGATTACTAATTCTCTGCAATCTCTTCCAGAAAATATAAGCAGAGGAAACACTTCCTATTTATTCTATATGGCCAGCACCACACTATTACCAAAAACAAACAAGGTTAGTACAAGAAAGAAAAATTACAGACCAAGTTTCTCCTGAAAATAGATGCAAAAATTCTCAAATAAAACTGAAATAATTATTAGCAAATCAAATCTAACAAGTATAAGAAGAATTAAATACCAAAACCAAGTAGGATTTATCTCTGATATGCAAGGCTGGTTTCACATTAGAAAACCAATTAATGTAATTCATCACATCAACAACAAAAAGGTAAGATCATATACTCATATTAATAGCTGTAGGAGAAGCATTTGACAAAATCCAACATTCATTGATGCTTTTAAAAACTCTCAGCAAACTAGGAATGGAGAGGAACTTCCTTACCTTAATAAAGCATATCCACAAAAAGCCTACAGCTAACATCATACTTAATGGGAAGTAACTAGTGCCCCACTGAACACTCCCATTCAACACTGTACTGGAAATCTCAGCAAATGCCATAAGACAAGAAAAGGTACTTGGGTTGGAAAGGAAGTCATAAACTGTCTTTGTTCACAGATGACATGATTGTTCACATAAATAATCTCAAAAATTGGTAGAAAAATTCTCCTGGAACAAATAGGAAATTATAGAAATGTAGCAGGATATAAAGTTAATGTGTAAAAGTCACTTACTTTCCTATATACCAAAATGAACAATTCGAATTTGAAAT